GAGAGAGAGAGAGAGAAAAACTAACGGGCTCTAAATTATTCACGACAATCACACAGTACAGAAAAAGTTAACGACTAGTTATACACTGTACGATGAAGAAAGAAAAAAAAGAGAATATATTAATCTCCGATAAACAATTATATTTTTTAAAATATATCTTCAAGATATACATATATTTAATATAATATTAATATTTCTATAGATATGTGCCGGTGATTATGAAAGTGCAGTAAGTCAAAAATTTTGATGACTTTTTATTTCGACTTTATAGATCGATATAACACAAAATAAGTAATAAAATAAATTTTTAAAAATTTTGACTAATTGTAAGCCCACTTTCATAATCACCGGCACATATATTTTATAATTAAAAAAAAATTGAAATTTGTAAGCAAAAATGACAAATAAAATAAATAAAATGAGTAACATTTTTGCATATACAAAAACAAGACGTCGCATCACAGTAATGTCGATTCCGATTAATTGAGACACATCGGGACCGTATATTTTGGTCCAATTAAATAGCTGCTTCAATTATTCAAAGTTTGATTTAAATTTAAAAAAAAGTTAAAGAGTTAATTTAGCAGTTCACAAAGCTACGACTTATTTATTTAAAAAAATTAAATAACAAAAAAAATGTAAAGGATGAATTTAATATAATACATTTTTCATGTTAAAATGCTTCCACTTTCCTACATATGTTTGTTGTATTCTATTACTATCACAAGAACGATTAGCCATTCGAAATAACATAGCAAATTGAAATAGCATAGCATGTAAACATGCAATTAGTGATATCCACCGTTAAATATTATAATTTTTCTAGGTGATAAAAACTCGCCAAACCTTGCATGAGGCGTTTCCCGGATTCGACGGGTGTCCTAATTATACGGTTCGCCGTCTCAAATAAAAAGAAAATCCGGTCATTTTATCTATTGGGATTTATTATTCAAGATTTATCGCAAATAACCGGCCGCCTCAATTTACGCTTATATAACACTTCACAATCTTTATATATATATATATATATATATAGTATATATATATATATATATATATATATATATATATGCATAAATGTTATATAAAGATATATATGTATTGATATGCATATATATTGATTTCTATAGCACTTTTATGTGATAATATAATACAATACGAGAAAGCGTATGCACACAGTTTACACGAGGTCAAAACCAGCGCAACAGCATTCTCGTGGCACACACCGCGCACGTGTATTCGAGGGATTAAATGTAAGCACCGCAATGCAAAACATCGAACTTCTACGTGAGTTTATATTTAACTTTCCCAAAAATTCCATTGTTTTTAGATTATATTGGATTTAAAGAATGCATCTAAAATCTAAAAATTATCATTGCGATCTGACGTATGTACGACACAATGGTATTTCACTGCGATAATGTGTTACAATTTTCGGAGCTTAGCATGTTTTCGAAAATATATCAATTAATCAGACATTCAATTACTCGAAAAACAAATCGTACTTAAAAACAGAATTTAAATGTGAGAAGAGCTCTATGAATTCTCTATTTCTATGAGAATCTTAAACCGATTTTCAGAACCTCAAACCATTATTGATCTTCCACCGTATCTAGCAGAACTAAGAATTTTGCTCGGCCGTTCCGATAATCGTCTTCTGGCACTCATTTATGATATGTAAACATTGCGTGCACTTACCGCAAACGTTGAGCCAACCCTCGACGCGGCAGGGATATTCCAGCTTCATCTCTGCTCCGTATGCAGACTGTGTGAAATCCAGGTCACGATGACGTTTCCTCTTCACACAGCAGGTCGCACTAATCACATAAACCTTTCGTCTGATTATCACTGAGAAACGATACCGTTGACTGCGGCGACACACATTCTTTCGCGTGTGCGGAAGACGCGACGCGGAATAAACACGCGATTTTCTTCCGCCTTTCGTTCTTCGTCACACGTTCGCAGCGGGATGACACGCGGAAATACGAATAGCGATGATATCGCGGAGCACCGTGCGTTTTCAACGATATCGCGAGAGGCCGAAACGACGGAGATATATGCCTGCGCGAGAAATACGCGGGTGGTCCGACAAACGTGATAGGGTATACACAGTAAAAGCACTCACTTGGGCGATGCGCGCGCGCAGATACGAAATACACACGACGGCGAACAAATCCGAACTGAGACGCGAGTGAACGGTGCGGCCGGCACAGCGACTGGCTTGCGTCCTCGCCGAGAAGCTTCCATCTTTCTCGCTCTCTTTACCGCTCCGTTCCCACTCGCTCCTTTCGCTCTCGTTGTCAGGTGGCCACCTCGCTCTCGCTGCTGTCTCTCGCATGCGACGCGCGTAATCGTCACCGACCGGTGTCACTCAGGCAAAACAGACATTTTGATTTACACATCTCGATGCCACGTGACGTATCTATTACTGCTATGTACAAATGCGCAATTCGAGACTTATGGTGACGGTTATGTGCAATGTTATTCGCGTATTGTATACTGAGAAAAATATTCTGTTTGATTCCACAAACCGTCTGTTCGATTTTCGAATCCGGTAGATTCAACAATCTGTTTGATTACCAGCTAACCGAACTGTCTGTTTCGTCCAAAATCGAACAGATGGTTTGTTGAATCAAACAGAACGTTTTTCTCAGTCTAACAAACATTAATGTTATTGATAAAATTGATTAACAGTATCGAGATATTTTTAATTATTTAGAATAATTTTTCTGTGTGCTTATTATTATTTATTTCAATCTAAACGTGTGAACTTAAAACTTTTTTTAACCGAAAGTAATCCGTGATATAAAATTGACCATATATTGCAGTTTTAAACATTTTATGCGACTGTACATTTGCTCATAAAATTATGTCATATAATCTTAATGCTCTTTTTCAGAAGATATTAAATATTTTGATAAACATCTTAAAAAGAGAACCAAAAATTATCGAAAATATTTTTAAAAATCTACTAAAATAAATGAAATAATCGAGAGATTTAAATAAAACGACTGTTTCGAATTAAGTGAAGGAGACAGAATTGAACCAAATTGGAGCAGAATGTTGTAAAATAAAATTGATTATTACAACTAATAGTTAAACATAAACTTTGGATCCACTTTATTCTATATATTTCTAATAATTCTAATAATCATAATTTTATAATGTTTACAATTTCATATTACGACTTGTTTTCCAACTGACAACTATTCAAACTTTTCTGGCACCATCTTACCATCTACACCTCTTCGTAATCATATCGTTTCACATAGAATACGCTTAAAAAAATATATATATATATATATTTCTGATAGAAAAAGAAGAAGAGAGAGAAAGGAAAAAGGAAGTGTGTGTAAAAAGTTAATCAAAACAAACCACTAATAATATACAAAGTAAAGACCAGCGAAGGCGCGTCGTATCGCGCAGGTGCCGATCGAAGCGGTACTTGGTCCACTCCGCGGCATAATTCAGAGATCACCGCGCCGCGTACATCGCCATCTGGCGAGCAGGCCAGTAGTTAGTAGTAGTCTTACAAAATGGCGCTGAAGGGACAAGTCGGTCAAAGTGAGTAACGTAAAAAAGTATCAATTTCGTGCAGCATTAGCGTGTATTTGTAAACATCCTTGCGCGACATCGTCAACCGACTCGCATGACGTCTCGATTGCGTCGATATCGCGCCTGTCGATCGCCGTCACGTAAAATCCACCTCGCATTGGTATACACGGCTCGAATGATTTCATCGGATGGCGAGGCCACGCAGAAACGTCAAGCACTATCCGAAAAACATTCAAAATACTTGATCTCTGTCGTGTCTCACGAGAGTTCGAATCAGGATTTTAAATTAGTACAATATCAATGAGTTCACGTTTCGATGTATGATTGTAGAGAAATACACTTTATATTAATTACTGTGTGTCAAGTATCATGTATAAATAGATATCATTTTCATATGACATCGAAATCTGAACTTACCGAAATTGTACCGGTTTTTAATCCCTGATTTACATGTTTTAGCCCCTGACATTTGTGACGGTGACGATGATCGACGAATATCGAGGCACAAATATTGCAGTAAAAGATATGGACACTATGGCCTGGAAAAGCTCATGGACATTTTCACGCCTCGTAGTTATCTGTAAGCGCGTTAATGAGTCACGTCGTAAAGGAACGAGAGAAAAAAAAGACAGTGTACTAGTTTTATTAGTACGACGACGCGAAATACTCATTGAGAAATGAACATTGCATCGTGTTATCGATCGCAACAGTCTATTTCTTGGAATCATTTTCCTTGGAATAACTGTTGCTTTTTCGGAGAAATTCTATGATGCCAACATACTCCCATTCCTGAAATTTCTTATATTAATATATTACAAAAACAAAACAGTTCAACATATTGAAGTAAAAAATGCCATTTATTGAATATTTACTATTATTTTAAATATTAAGTCTAATTTGATTTCCATATAAACTTTTTATTAGTTTTCTAAATCGAGTAATCTGGTTAGTAAAGTATTTTTATTTTTCTATATTGTCAAGTAATATCAAAGATCACAAAGTTTGTTTTTCTAAGTGTAAGATTGAGAAAAGACATTTTACACGTCTATCAAAACGTCAATTTTTTCTCGCTAAGAGAAATATCGGAGAACAGGGTCTGTGGCTCAATTGATGCGCGCCTGAACAAAGTGACGTCATCTCACCATGAAGACGATCAATATGTGTTAGAAAGCAAAAGATTTCTTATATTAGCGGCTCAATCTATATATCAGCATTATTAAATGTCAATAATTGCACTGCTTATGTAAAATTAATTATTATCAACATTAAAATTTATTTTGTTTTTAATAAAGCCAAATCACTATTCTTTGAATAAGATAATAATTAAAAAAATCACACTTATTTTTATTCTTTTTGATATAATCTAATTACACTAGTTAACACAAAATTTTATTTAGCAGTTGTCATAAGTTAAAATTTTTTTATTTTTTTAGAAATTGTTTGTATTTAAATAGAAATATACAATGCATATATTCTATGATTAATTACAGAGTATTGATTTTTTTACATGTATATGTTTCTCTATATTATCTGATTTTTGTTTTATTGTGTTCAAAGTAATTTATTATCTTATTTGTAATTTAAAAAGTTAATATAAGCAACATATGCTTAGAATTCTTCTAGAGAATTTCTTAAAGCACTCTGTTAATAAATCCTCTCACGTTGCAGAGATTATGAATGAGGTAATCAAGCAAAAAAAGAAGACAACAGGTGGTGTAGAATGGCGGATCTTGGTGGTGGATCAGCTCGCCATGAGAATGGTGTCTGCATGTTGCAAAATGCACGACATCAGCGCTCAGGGTATCACTCTGGTAGAAGATATTAATAAGAAGCGCGAACCTCTGCCGACGATGGAGGCCATTTACCTCATCACGCCCTGTAATCCGTCGGTGCAAAAATTAATCGATGACTTCAGTAATCCTACGAGGACCACTTATAAAGTCGCTCACGTGTACTTCACAGAAGGTATTTGCCGCTGTTCATCTCGTATTGTCGCTCTACGAATTAATATATATCCTTTTCTTCCCAATGACGAATCCGTATGATCTAATGTTTTTTCGAGAGAGATTCGGCACAAGTTTGAGAAATGTAAACTAGAAAAATGTAAATGTGTTTCAAAATCAATGCTTTTTTCCTAGATTAATACAATTAATTGTTGTAATTTTAGAATTTATAACATGCAAATAATCTCAACAATCTGAAATTAAATCTCTTAATATTTATTAAAAAAAAAAAAATTGGTGCTGTAACATAAAATATTTTATACTTACAATTAGTATACTTGGTATATTTGTAGATATTAATGTATTATTTCTCAAAATTTATATATAATTTAAATATAATTAGGTATTTTTGATTAAAGTTATTTTTCGGCAACCAGACAAGTAAAGTACACTTTATTGATTTCCACAGCAAATCTCCATGCAAATGTGATGAATCGCGTCTAAATTCGCAACTTAATAAACAGATCAATATTTCGAGAAGAATAATTAATGGTTCCAATCTTTGAATTTCGCGTGATTCGACATACTCAGTATATTTTTTTACAGCGTGCCCCGACGAGTTGTTCAAAGAATTGTCTCACTCGCTGGTAGCTAAGCACATAAAGACACTAAAAGAGATCAACATCGCTTTTATACCGTACGAAGAGCAGGTAAAGCAACGAATGCCATGAGAAGGAAAATGTTTAAGCGTTTCGTCTTTTGTGGTGTGGGCATACACATACATACACAATACACAGTTCATTATATGTCAATCTGTGTTCACTTCTGAACCTCTAATCACGTAAATTTGATCGCACGGGTCTATCGGATATCAATTGGAACGATATTAACATGACGTTATCTTCTTATTCCTGCCTTCTTATTCAATCCATCCTGAGCCTCTAAAATGATTCACGAACAAGCACATACTAATAATCAGAATGCATTCATGCTTGCACTCGATGCCAGTATGCCCGGAGGAGCTGTTCAATGAAATCTGCAAGTCTCTCGCCGCTAAAAAGATCAAAACCCTCAAAGAGATCAACATCGCATTTCTGCCGTACGAATCGCAGGTGACGATTAAGCAGACGAAAATAGTAGACGCTATAATAGTAGACGCGTAGCTTTAAAGCAGAAATTGCTTTCAATTTTTAAGCACTTAAGTGAGCTTAGAAATTTTCTTGCTTTTTTTGATCTTCGGTTTGCCTTTAGATTGCACAAGGCGATAGACTTCTTACCGACGAAAGTCTTCTTGTCAGTGTTTCTTTTGACTCAAGAGTACCGATATGTTGTGTGTAAATACTTGTAACATAATTGCTAATCGGATTCTCCATATTGATTATCCGATTATTTTCAAAACTTACCAATTGGCATGCTTATTTTCTTTGCTTTAAGTATACAATTCTGTAATTAGATGTGTCGTTGTGAAGAGAATATCGCAAAACTGAATCTGTTGTAATTTAGGTCTTCTCCTTGGATTCACGTGAAACTTTTGCCTGCTTTTACAATCCCTCTTTCTCCAACTTGAGACCGGCTAACATGGAGCGTATTGCCGAACAAATCGCAACACTTTGCGCCACTCTTGGAGAATATCCTTCAGTCAGATATCGCAGGTGATTTTCATTTTTAAATACGATTGGAAAATAGATCTAATAATACATATAAAATAATTTAAATAAATGTTATTGTAACGTTAATAACATCTTAAGAATAATTATAGACGTTATAAAAATATATAATAATGGAGCTTCAATATGCTGCAGTGATTTCGACCGCAACGTTGAACTCGCCCAATTGGTACAACAAAAGCTAGACGCATACAAGGCTGATGAACCGACAATGGGAGAAGGGCCTGAGAAAGCACGTTCTCAATTGTTAATCTTGGACAGAGGATTTGATTGTGTTTCACCTCTGTTACATGAACTTACGCTGCAAGCCATGGCATACGACTTGCTGGACATTGATAACGATGTGTACAGGTGAGTAAAATTCTATAGTTTGTGTTATAAATTTAAAACGATTCTAATGTCGTATAATTTTATGTTAATTAAATAGATTTGAGGCAACAGCAGGTCAGGAGAAAGAAGTATTGTTGGATGAGAATGATGACTTGTGGGTGGAACTCAGGCATCAACATATTGCTGTAGTGTCTCAGTATGTATAACTATAAGTCTCACACTTTTTGAAAGATTGAAAATTGTGAAAAGTATTATAACAATTAAATTTGTATTTCAGGAACGTGACTAAAAATTTGAAAAAGTTTACAGAATCAAAAAGAATGCCACAGGGTGATAAGCAGAGCATGCGAGACTTGTCGCAGATGATCAAAAAGATGCCGCAATATCAAAAAGAACTAAGTAAATATGCTACACACTTGCAATTAGCTGAAGATTGCATGAAACGTTACCAAGGAAACGTAGATAAACTTTGTAAAGTGGAGCAAGTATGTATCGCTACTTTATAACACATTTGTGAAGAGGTCTTCTTTTAATTATATGCCTTGCGATCGTGTTCTAGGACTTGGCTATGGGTACCGATGCGGAAGGCGAACGTATCAAAGATCATATGAGGAACATCACTCCGATTTTGCTTGATCAGACGGTGAATCATTTGGACAAATTACGCATCATAGCTTTATATGTCATTAGCAAAAATGGCATCACCGACGAAAATCTTAACCGTTTGGTTCATCATGCCCAAGTGTCCGTCGATGACAAACAGACCATCGTTAATATAGCAAATCTTGGCATCAATGTTGTTGTAGATGTAAGCTAAAAATTTTGCGAGCTATGCTTTATACAGCATAGACTTTCTAGTAATTTAATAGTGATTGGTGATTTTATTGTTTACAATGTTGTATGTATTTTCAGAGCAATCGTAAAAAACTATACACGGTACCACGTAAGGAGAGAATCACAGAGCAAACATACCAAATGAGCCGTTGGACTCCAATAATTAAGGATGTTATGGAAGATTCCATTGAGGATAAACTCGATTCTAAACATTTCCCATTTCTTGCTGGACGTGCAGCCAGCTCGGGATATCACGCACCAACCAGGTAAATTATAAACTTGTTTCTCTTTCTGAATATATTGAAAACGTGAATTTACTTCTAAAAACACTTATATGTATTTGCAGTGCGCGATATGGACATTGGCACAAAGACAAAGGCCAGCAGACCATCAAAAACGTTCCTCGCTTGATCGTTTTTATTGTTGGTGGAGTATGCTTCTCTGAAATTCGATGCGCATATGAAGTCACGAATGCATTAAAAAATTGGGAAGTCATAATTGGTAAGAAATATTTCATTAATTCATCGATATTAATATTTTAATATCCAGTTTCAACCTGTTCGAAGAAAAATTTCCAATCAAAACAATTAGAAATTTATTCTTTATAATAACAAGATATTTATTTTTGTAGGTTCATCCCATATAATTACACCGAAGTCATTCATGAACGACTTGAGTAAAATACATGTTTAAATTATCAGATAGCTGAAAGAAGAAGTGACATTCCACGCCCTTGATTGCCATTAACTTCGACTCCATCAGTAATACCAGCTATGAAACCAATGATCTCGAATACGAAATTATAGTATTTAACTAAATAATGAATACAGAGTCAATTCTTTAAGCGAGAGCGCCTTGTTCGAGGCAGAAATGAGTATTCAATAATATAGTCAGTCGAGTAACAATGAAAGTATTCGTGTATTAGTCGAGCACGAAAAGTCTTGATCGGTTGAATTATCTTGAATCAAGTGCCTGCGCGAATACATTATCATCGGAGATCGTATGAGACACGTTGGCAATACTGATGTAGATCGCACGAAGGTGTATAATGGTATTAGGCTCACGATCGAGCCTTTAGCAAAAAATTAGAGATATATTCACGTGCGTTATATCACTCTTTGTCGGTAATAAGAGAGGAAATTTGCGAAGATCTATGTGTGTTGTAGAAGATCGTGTTATTCCTGTACATTTCTCGTATTAGTATTTCGTTATCTTGTGCTCGTTGAAGCTTATTGATCGCATATGCAAGTTGACGTTGACGATGTAGATTGTCTTTATTTAGCTCTTTTTACTTCTGTAGAAATTAATTCTATTAGGCGTTCCATCTAAATATCGTATTACAATTCACACTTTATTCGCTTCGACACTAATTCAAAGAAGATAACAAGTGATACAATGTTATTTATTCGATATTATTTTTCAACTGCTAGTTGAACTACTAGTTAGTAGCATTAAATGTAAAATAAAACTGTTAGTTGTACGAACTTATCGCTAATTTTTTTTGATAACTTCATATGTATCCTCATAGTTTGGTGCAATATACTTTAATTTGAAAATTAGCCAATTACCAGTTCAAATATTACATTTATAACTTCATAAATATATAATATTCACGATATATAATATTCAACGCTCTCTCTCTGACAAATTCGATTAGCGACTAATTACTTCTGTTGAATGTAATACTGTTAAATGCAGTTGTAATATTATACAAATATTTACTTGTGTATTGTAAGATCTACCGCAACATCAAACTGCAATCGCTCCTCGATTGTGGTAGAAAAGCACTTTCCATCAGAAGCTTGCGCCTGTCGGTGAATAATAATAATGATAATAATTATTAATGTAATATCAATAAATGTTGCGATATACTAGCGGAGAAATTATTACAAAGTTAAACGATATTTATAAAGTATATCCTGTTACATATATATACATATATATGTATGTAGATTATAGTTCGAACAAAGTGTTCTGCTTATAAAGGCCTATGCGCTCAATTTCATGTCTTTTAATTATCACTCCGATATAAGCCGGCATTCCGAAATTGTTCAGGAAACAATTTTCTTCAGTGAGCACTTTACTCGATGACTGCAGAAGCAGTTTGTGTTTTCTGAACGTAGGCAATTTCTTATTTAAAAGTATCTTAATATCTCGATTGCATCCCGAGTTTCTAAAGGTTATCCGTAATCTAAGGTCACAACATAAATTTAACACTTTATAACGTTTGAACGAAACGGATACTTGAATAGTAGTTCACTGTTAATTGCACCATTAACAACTTTTTTCTTTCAGTGCATTTTGTATATTTCTATTTCTACTACTTAAAGTTAAACTGTGAGAAATGTCAGACTCAAAGAAGAAAGTGATTCTAGCTTATAGCGGCGGTTTAGACACTTCTTGCATATTGTTCTGGTTGAGAGAAAAAGGATTTCAAGTTATCGCATATGTAGTAAGAATTTTTATAATTGCACACACGCACAATTCTTTTCTAAAATAAGAATAGATATAAAAACTTGATTATTTAGGCGAACATCGGGCAGGACGAAGACTTTGATGCAGTTAGAGAGAAGGCACTTAAGATTGGTGCTGTTAAGGTAAACTATTTTTTTATTCTCTTAACATATTATACCGCGAATAAAATAAATGCTATAAACTTTTTACTTATTAGACGTATTTACAACAAAACGATAAACAATTCAATTAGACGATTGAAAATTTTATGAAACAAATTCAATTACAAGGTTGTAATAGATGATCTCAAAGAAGCATTTGTGAGTTCTTACGTGTGGCCTGCTGTGGCTTGCGGCTTGCTCTACGAGGGAAGATATCTTCTGGGTACTTCCATAGCACGTCCATGTATTAGCCAAGGTCTAATAAAAACCGCAACGACTGAAGGCGTCAATATCATCGCGCATGGAGCAACTGGGAAAGGGAATGATCAAGTTCGCTTTGAATTGAGCTGTTACAGTCTTTGCCCTGCAATTACGGTACTATACATTTCATTTTTTTTCTAAAAGACTTCTGAAAAATGAGAATTAAAAAATTTATTTTGTGTGTAGATTTTTATGTTATATAGCAGTACTGCCCAACCTTCTTGTACACATGCGAGCTACTTTTTTTAGCAGAGCGATCTCGCGATATATCCATGTGCGGGGGAAAAATATAAAATTAGAATGTGATTTCAATGTTTGTTAAACATATCAATAGAAACAAACTAAGTGTCAAAATATAAACAAAATAAATATTAAAATTACAAATATAAATTTCATAATAAAATAAAGTAAAAAATCAAAATGTGATCAAAAAACACGTCGCGATCGACTAATTGGGCACCCCTGTTATACAATAGGAATGTTTCATACGCCTGTGTATTTCGAAAACATAAATATAGTTAATTGTGACAAAAAAATAATTTTGATATATAAAGATTTTAGCTCCGTGGAGGGAACATGAATTTTATACGAGGTTTCAAGGAAGATCGGACTTACTGAAGTATGCGCGACAAAATGGAATCCCGATCTCAGCAACACCAAAAGAACCGTGGAGTACTGATGCTAATCTCGTACACATTAGGTATAAACATGTTTTTATTAGAATAGAATATTTAATAGATTAATTTTATATTCTTGATTTTTTACATAGTTATGAATCAGGGATATTAGAGGATCCTGCCATTCCAGCGCCAAAAGAATTATATAAAATGACTACTGATCCGATAAATTCCGCCTTAGAGGCAGAGAAGATTGAAATTAGTTTTAAAAAAGGATATCCAGTTAATGTAAAGAGTCTGAAAGATGGGAAGATATTCGACACTCCTCTAACAATACTAGAGTATCTGAACCAAATCGGAGGTGCGCATGGTATCGGGAGGATAGACATCGTGGAAAATCGATACATCGGGCTAAAAGTATGTTTCTTATAAATATATGAATTTATATATGAGATATAATATATGAGAATATATGAAAGTGAATCAAAATGTTTCAGTCTCGTGGAATTTACGAGTCACCGGGCGCCAAAATCTTGCACATTGCGCATCAGGACTTGGAAGTGTTCACTTTGGACCGCGAAGTTCTTAGAATTAAATCATATCTGACAGAGAAGATGTCAGATTACGTTTATAATGGTGTGTATATAAAAAATATAAAAATTGAAATAAACTAAAATAAGTAAAACTAAACTATTAAAAATGCTTATAGGTTTTTGGTTTTCGCCCGAATGCGACTTTGTACGAGAAAGCATTCAATATTCGCAAAAATACGTAAATGGTGTAGTAAAGTTGCAACTGTACAGAGGAAATGGTTCGTATACGTCTAAATTAACGAAAGTTATAAAATTTAACACGAGACACCCAGTAAGCAAAATGTTAACAATGTTGACTGGGTAGTCACATTTAGTGCTAATATAAACCGACAAAAAGAAATTGTTCTTTTTCTTTACAGTTATGGCGATCGGCAGATCGAGCCAAGTTTCATTGTACAACAAGAATCTTGTCTCGATGGACGTACAAGGTGACTTCGAACCTACAGACGCTACTGGCTTTATTCGTACGCAGGCTCTAAGATTAAAAGAATTTCACCGTTTCAACAAACAACATAATTTTTGAATCGTGATTTTATTGCGAGTATTTTATAAATTTCAATAAAGAATACACTCTGTATTTAGCTCAATGCTACTTTATTACCTAAAACATCTATAGCGTATTTTAAAGAAATGATTCAATACTTTGTAAGAACACGCAGAATGATCTAAAAGATATATACTTAATATACGTAATTGCAATAAGAGTTTGGAGTCGCAAGAGAAAACGTAATGGCCAGATTAATTTTAGAGAATTCATCCTGAGAAATCCGATTACTCTACAGATGTTGCGCATGCAAGGGAAGAGGTTGTTCAATAAAATACTAGCACTACATTTTTGTTTTGATTTTAGTTATTAATAATTAAATTTTGGGATTATTACCATATTTGTGAGGATTATAATAGTATATATAGTATACTATATTTGTAAGGATATATATATATATATATATATATATGTATGTATATATATATATATTAATAGTATACACAGTGATCTTTTTCGTATCTGCACTACTTTGACTTCGCAACTTAAAAGAAAAACTGTCAAATACGAAATCATGACAGTGCTTCAGATATATATCTATATCACGACTATGAATAATTTTCTATACAGATTTCTTACTCGCGTTCTCTCTGTTCCACTCTCCGTTTATTTATATATGTATATTATATAACATGCAAAATTACAAACTAAGGAAGGTAATTCTTTATGCATATACAATGAATAACCTGCAGTAGCTCTGTATTCACATTTGCTCGTTATTAGTTCAAATATCGTAATAAACATGCTTTTTTTTATTTACTTCTAGTGATTAATAACAATACAGATTATATATACATATATATATATATATAAAATGTGTATGTGTATATATATATATATATATAGTGGATTGATGTTGTTAAGTAAGCAGAAAACTTTATACTTATGTATAATTGGCCAGAGTCGCAAATAATATATGTACCATTTGTTTAAAAAAAAATTAAGTAAAAAAAAAAGTCCCATGCAGTATTATTAAACTTCTAAAATATTAATAAAAAAAAGAAAGAAAATTGAGGTCGTTAAAGCCTCATATATCTCAAATTCTTTCTAATATTTTACTGACAAAATTATATTATATAAGATTATATTGGAAAAATTGAAACTCACTGGAGCACATTAGGAATCAGTTTTTTCATTCGATTTATTTATAAAAAATTATATTTAACATAAATACGAAAGTAATTTTACGAGCTGGCACCATTGGCATAACGAAAATTGAAAACGGAGGTGCGCAAAACGCGACGCTCAATAAACAATCACTATTTCATACACTTTTTCTCTCTCTCTCTCTCTCTCTCTCTCGTTCATTCGCTCGCTCTTTCTTTCCCTTACTTAACAACATCAAACATCTCTTTATTTTAGCCATTTATTTCCTCATCTCATTATTATTTATATACAACCAGTTTAAATGTTCATTATTATTAATCGTAATAAATTTGCTAAAATTCGTGTGCCCTTGGAGATGATGTGCGCCCGTGGGAACTTATATAAAAAATTACTTTTTGATACAGTTGAGTGATTTTGGTGTTACTTATGAAGTATGTATATATATATGTCGTTATATCCTAACTTACGCTGAGATCTAGTAAGTTACACAATCTGTTTATCGACTTCCTTTAACGATTACAAACCTTATCACATACATAGAGGTTGTGTATTACTTAACATTATTCTATATATATTCTTCATTTTGCATTAAATATGCTGCCAATGATTTCTTTTTCTATGTACAATTAAAAACTACGTATTATTATACAATCGCAATACCTATTACACGCACTCCTCTTTTTTCTCTTACACTCATTCTTTCTCTTGTCTCTTTCTTATTTATAACGCGCATTAATTGATTTGCAACTCATTGTTAGAGTGTCATATAGCAAGTGAACAAACAGCGAATACGATTTTTCGATATGAACGTTTTGTTCGACTTTGTTTAATGTTTATCGTGAAAGAGAATTGCAACTCAAACATTCCAGATAGAAAAGAGATAAAAAGAAGAATAAGTACGAGAGATTTTCTTTCTCACGAGCCTAAGGTATACCAAGAATTAGGTACATAGTCTGATCTAATGGTTGGTAGGATCGAAACTACTTCGAAACTCTAAAATTACTCTCACCTCTCTTATCATTATTCATAATAATTGACGACATTGTTCTAAAGTGAGTTAATAAATAGCTTCGAATTGACCAGCTGGCTCACAATGACTTCATAAATCAATCAAGACATTATACATGAATTAAGTGTAATGTCTGGATTGATTAGCAATTGCCAAAAACAGGCAGCCATGATGATCGTTATTAAATTCATCAAGTTAAATGTTCGTATTACGTTACATTTTTCTATGTTATTCACTTAATAAGCCTAGTTATTTTCATAATTACAAATAGTGTATATCAATAATCAAGAAAGAAATTTGCAAAAAATCATTAATAATAGCTGATAATGATATTATTGGCAGAAACACTGCACTACATAATCCTACCAACGATTAATGACTCAATGTGGAAAAATATAAAACTTAACTAAATGTACACGACTTTTTCCTCCCCATACATATACATTCACATCTAATCCCACACATTCCATTATCACACGCAATCTTCTCACTTATTTGCATAATATTTTACTTTGTTTTCAAATTTACATAAAGTACAAACTTATGAAAACCGGAGAAATGTAACACAATAGTCAGTGTAACATTTTCGAAGTATCATATAAGTATTTATCTAATTATATGGTCACACTTAAGTGTCCGTCGACGTACTGACAACGCAATTTGTCTCAAATCATCATTTTAATAAACTCTCTCTGTTTCTGCTCAAGTTCTCGGACGACAACCACCAATTCATGATTTTTAGTTGGAATGTCCCAACTGCACCATTTTATAACTAGCACACGAACTACATCGTCATATCATTTATCTGACTTTGTAACTAGTTATTCTTAGTTTTTTTTTAATTAATTGGCGTCATATTAAAAAATTTCAACAGTATTGTTCAGAACCAAATATACGTCCAAGTCCTGTCAGGTTTCAATGAGTTTACTATAAACAGCATATAGTAACATTATAAAGATTCCTCAAACGCAGCCATCAAATCACTTTGCATGTTCATGTCAATCTGGCCAGCCATCTGAAAAGATAAATATAACCATCCTGCGAATCTGCCTTTACTGTGGGCATTGGAAGAAATCTATTTCTTCATAATTCTCTACATAAAGCTACTTAAAATAGTTCAATTTATTTCAAATATTATTGCAACATCAAATTTTATTGCGTGATAAATCTTATAAGTGTAAACTTTACGCAACACATGTTATAAGTGTAAACTTTACGCACACGCAAAATGACAATCATTAAAATTTTAAATAAAAAAATGGAAAGTATATTACAAAATATAAAACTCATAATTTTAAATTAAATAACATGAAAAATGGCATAAGCTACGCCTTGATATTACATGTCAATCGTTCTTATATTTACAAAAATGTCTCAAAATACAAATATCAACGATTCGGTCGATTATTCGACCCTTCAGTATGCATTAAATTAAAAGAATCACTAATTCTGATGTTCGAAATGTAATAAATTAAAAGTTTTAAACGCAAAAAATTGTCAATTTAAAAATAAACACTATTTTGTTTGCGATTTTACCGATATCAATAAGATAACTTGGAATTTCTTGTTATAATGCAACATCACTCCAGCAGTAATTGTAAGTCTCGTTCTATTTATATGTCTAGAGTTTCTCGAGTGGCAAATAGCGGTTATTTAAAAATTGACAATCTTTTGCATTTAAAACTTATAATTTAATGCACTTCAAATATTAGAATTAATAATTCTTTTAATTTAATATATACAGAGAATGTCAAATAATCGACCGAAACGTTTGTATTTGTATTCTCAAAGACATTTTTATATAAATATAAGAAAAATAATATATAATGGCTGCGTTCGAGAAGCGCGCTATTAGCGCTATTTGTGTCTTCTATCTTTATTGCTCATTAGACATAAAACAAGGATAGAATGCCACAATAGCGCTGATAGCGCGCTCCCCGAACGTAGCCAATATCTAATCGAAGCTCTTGTGCCGTTTTCTATGTCATTTAATTTAATTATATATTAAACTACTAACTAACAATTAATTATTAAGTTATATTATTGAGTTATATTCAAATTGTGCAATAAATTATTTTAATCCTTTTTTTATCTACAATTGAACATATGATTATGAGGTTTCACACTTTATTAATCATTGCAAGAATCTCTAATCTTGTTTCACTATGATATCATAATGTTATTTTGTAAAATTTTGTTAAATCTCTGTAGAATTCAGTTAAATTCTTTTCGTTTATCTATCGATAAAAGAATAAAAGAATATTGTGAATACGATAGTACTTACCGCTTCTCGCCGCCGACGTTCTTGCTCCCGTAGCCTTTGACGCTCTCTTTCTGCAGCAGACTTGTCTTGACTGGAAGAATGACTCGGACTACTGCTATCAGTATCAGCAATGGCTTTTACTTCTTCCGTTCTTGTCGTGACAGTCATAACGTTGCTTTGTTGATCTGCGACACTTTTCCTAACTTTGTCCATAGCGTCTTCTTCCTCTCGTTCCCTTCTTCTTTCGTTTTCCTGCCGTAATCTCTCTCGTTCCGCTTGTTCCTTCTGCTGTTGTCTGCGCATTTCTTGCTGCTCCAGCAGCGCTCTTTGCTGTTTTACAAATATTAATATAAAGAACATAATAATAAGCAATTATATTAAATTTTGTATAGTTATATAAAGAAAATGTATAATTGATTAAAAAGATTAAAAGAACAATATATAGCAACAAACCCTATCCTGTTTTTCTTTAGCTTGCTTCTTAAACGCTTGGAAAGAGTCTCGTGCTGCACTTTTCATACTACTCCCTGCAGCTGTCGATTGGGGACTTGATGCTTGTGCCAGGGAAGACCAGGATGATGCGTTTTTTACATTTTGTTCTACAGTCTGTATAATCAATAGCATGTGTTAAAAAGCTAACTAATAAAAATTGTTTTACTATTACCGATGTAATAATATGTAAAAAATATACATGTATATGTAGGTAAATACTTAAAAAATAATATTTAAAAAAATAAAATAAAATAAATATCGTTCGTGCATGGAAATGCGGTTGATGTAAGCAAAACGTATCAGGATTAAAGAGCGCAGTGAGAATCGTAATTAATTTTACACACATGTACACTTTATTATTGATATGTATATACGATTAATATTAGAAAGAAAAAGAGCTAGAAAGCCAAAGCAAGTTAATCGTGTTCAAAACTTACATTAATGCAATTAAAACGTTTCGACCATGGAACTGAGTCTGTAGTTAAAGATTCATTCGTAGAATGTATGTAAAGTTATCATCGCTTAAAATATACAAATCATAATTCGCACGTTAAAAATGTACAAAAATAATCGTACTTGATTGTTAATACTTTTGTATGTTCTTGGTCTGAGACTAATCTTACTCTCAGATGGAGCGAACGGTTGTCAAAATTCGAAATCTTCAATGATAAATGTAATACTGTAAAAGTGTAAAAAATAATTGATTAACTAAAACAAAAGCGAGATTCTTAAAACTGAAATGTCAAAGATAAATTTCAATAAATTATTCACAATAGTCAAAATTAAAGTAAGCCAAACTTGATTTAAAAATATATATTGTACTGCTATCCATCCACCTGAGTAATTATAAAAAATCACTTAATAACGAAAGAAATATATTATTGACGTTCGTCGAAAAACTGAAATATGAGTGCAATTATGAAAACCGAAACGTAGAAGATAATAAATATTATTATAATAAATATTATATAATAATATTACAATCAAAATCATGATTGGAATTTAATCTGGATGGATCTGGTGGATGGAGATTATAGATGGAGGTCCGCTTTTTTATTGATCTGCATGATGTTTACGGATTCTGGTTCTCACTAATAGTTTTTGTCTGGTCTATATACGTGGCATCGCACATAGGATGTCTTAAATCTTGAAATTGTGTTGTTTAGCTTAGTTTCGAAAACATATTACTAACGTAAGAAACAGTGAAATATTTGAAAGACAGGCAGCACTTGGCCTCAATAAACAAAGCGACACAACCTTCTTTGTTTCCTTTCCCTTCTCCTGTATTATTATTCTTTACATTTCGGTTTTCTTACTTCCATTTCGTTTATTTATTTCTACTCTTATTTCACTTTTTCGAATTTCAACGATATGCTTCTTTCGCGCGAGCGTTATTAAGTGGTTTTTCACAATTACTCAAGTGAATAAATAGTAATGTAATACATACTTTTAATCAAATTTGATTTAGTTTTAATTTTAATTTTGACTGTTGCAACTAATTTATTGAAAAATATCTTTGACATTTTAGTTTTTAAGAATCTCGCCTTTATTTTATTTGATCGATCATTTCTTTACCTTATTAATTCACATTTTACCATTTGAAGATTTTCTATGATAGGTGCGACGACCTTTTCTTCTATCTGAGGATACGATTAATCTCGAACTAAAGCGTAGCTTACACGATGTTAGCATACTAGTGCGCTAGCAGCTAATAAAGTTGAAATATTTTAATTTGACTAGCTAATTAGAGAAAGAAACATGCTAGTTTACTCGTATTTTAAAATACACGATGCTTTTTCACGAGCTGCTAGCGCACTAGCGCGCTAGTAGCTAATAAGAAAGCATCCTATAAACCACGCTTAAGAACAGAAACGTCAACAATCAAGTACGACTGCATTTATAATTTATATTTACTTTTCGCGTGCAAACTATTATTTGTAAATTTTAAGCGATGGTAATTTTATATATTTATTATGCAAATAAATTTTTGACTGTAGATGACCAAAATCCATGGTTGAAACGTTTTAATTACATTAGTACAAGTTTTAAGTATGATTAATTTGCTTCAGCTCTCTAACCCCTTTTCCTCTTTCTAATATTTATTAAATATAAGAGCATTAGACCTAATGCACAGTAGAGAAAATATTGCGAATAGGAATAAATATTAAATATTAGGAATAAGGAAATAGAATTATTTCATTTCAAAACACGAAAATGGGTTAACGCATCATAAATAAAAAATAAGAATTAAGAATAATTAATCCATTTCGTTCCTAGTTCCATGTCAAATGATCCCAATTATTAAATAATTTTGAGTCAAAGGTTGCCGAATATTCATTTCTTTCAGTATACTTAACAGACCACCAACAGCTGACTACAAATCTCAAATTTGGAATATTTTTTATCTCCTATAGTTTCATATTTTTAAACATATGAATAACTGATGAGCAAGTTCTACACAAAAACTTATTTTTCTCAAAAATATAGATATTTTATTGCAATAAAACCCAACTCTTTCAGAATTCCACGAACTTCAATTTCGTATATATAACAAAATTCAAGAAATGGACATGTCTAGGTCAAAAATTCAAAATTTTCGAAATATGCACATTTTCCAAAAATTTTCCTTGGAAAGTTTTCCCCCAATTTTTTTACACCTTATTTTGTGAAGCTCAAAATTTGGAGAAAACCTATAATTAAAAAATTCTATAATTAAGAAATTTGAAAAAAATGACAAGAATAAAGTGTTATTTTTTTGCGTAGAATTTAAATTCTAAGTTAAAACATACCTTTTTTTGAAAAAATAAATAAATAACTTTATAAACTTAGGACGGTTTCCGTTCTTATATTTAAGATTGTCTTAAGTATGGTCTTAAGATGCTATGAACCAATCAGAAAGCCATATTAGTATCTTAAGACAACGACGATGACGACTTAAGATTATCTTAAATATAAGAACCTCTTACAATTAGTCTTGTTTCATATCAAATGATAGTCTATGAAATTCTGAATATAATGCCTTTTGTTTCATTAAAATACAGTGGACGAAATTTCTATAAGAACACCATAATTTATGGATAAAAAGTGATTTATTTCATACAATTTTATTAATTATAAGTCGGTAACTGTAGGAATACCGCAGTGTCGTTACTGGAAACGATGTAGGTAATCAAGGTCATGAGTTTTCTGTTTGTAAACAGCAATACAAGAATACTGACCAAGGTAGGTATGAAATATGTATAAGAACATTGACGTTTACTTAGTTGTTTTTCATCTTTTAGACTAGAAACATCCTCCGTAGCTCAGAGAGAGTAAGTATTATAAGTAAAAAAGAATTATAAGTTAATATAATTTCATTATTACTAGAATGCCACGAGGAAAAGTGTTAAGTCGAGAAGAACAGGCAAAAATAGAGGCGTACCGCGATGCAGGATTCTCTATTCGAGAGATCGTAAAAAAAAAATTCTAGATCTACTATTTCTGTACATAACTTTATAAGGTTGCGTGAAAATTATGGTAAAAACCATTACACATGTGGCAACACAAAATTAACAAGACGTGATCGCTCACGAATTTTTAAAGAAATTCGAACCAATAATAAAACTGCTAGTGATGTAAGAAGAGTTTTGGATCTGCCGGTGACTACGCGACGTGTGCAATAAATATTGCAGCAGGATAAACGGTTAAAATGGATGAAAAAAGTATTGAAACCACCTCTTACGCAAGACCATAAAACTGCGAGATACAAAAATAATAAACAGTACAAGAATATTAAGGAGCTGGAAAACGCTGTAAGACATTAATGGAATAAAATCGGTACTAGAACGTTACAAAAATTAGTTTGTAGTATGGAGAACAAAATATTTGAGGCGATTAATGGTGGAAGTACTAAGTACTAATATTACAATTGTTATATTTTTTATAATAATTTAATAGACTGTTCCTATGCAAATTTCGTCACTTTCTTTGTATATTTAACTACTATGTTTTCTTTATAAAAAATAAAACGATTTCTTTTGTTCTTAATGTTGGCTTCTTGTCTTTTAATTATTTTTTTATATTTTTTTAACCTCCCTTAATTTTATTTATAAAGCATTAAATTGTTTTTATTAAAAATAATAGTGTTCTTATAGAAATTTCGTCCACTGTATCTTACTTTTGGTCTGAGAGAATTGTATTTTTATAGATTTCCTGCAACCAAAATATGCAGCTTACTAAATTTTTTACTCACTTATAATATAACAATAAGATGAGATAAATTCTTAAGCTCTTATACTTGAGATCCTCTCTTATAGTACTAAATGTGTGTAGAAAATAAAGCAAGAAAATGGTAAGGTAATTTACATTGAATCACTTGACATAGAATGAACCCTCCTTTGTTTGAAGTAAAATAATTCTAAATTGTTCTTCCTAATATTTCATATTTTTTCCAATATTCTAATATTTTCTCTATTATATCTTGGGCCTTACACCATTTTTTTTTAACACTATATTTGTATATTCAAATTAAAAATTCGATATTCTTAAATGCATAGTTAAGAAATTAATTTAGTACCTTATTTTTAAAGGCTGATGCAAAATTCGCAGCAGGATTCTTCGAGTCAGGCGGAGTCATTTTTTTTTCCGGGATCAATTGCGAACTGGCATGATTACCCATTGGTGGCATTCCTAGAGTGTTCATTTCTGCAAAAAAAGCTCCTGCTAGAGCAATAGTATTATATATCTGGTTAGTAAGCAGTTAATATAGCAATTAAAACACATATAAAGCAAGATTATTACTAAAAGCATTAATTAGCGAGAAAGAATTCAATACATAAATCTGAACAAATAGCAAAAAATATTCAAAGTAAGTCGTAGTAAAGATTATATACAAAATGTAATGAATAAGCATCCAGACGCAAATAAGCAATATTATTAAAATTAAATTAATAACGCATGTGTTTTATCTTATTTTTATACGACATACTTTTATCTATATTGTAGTATTAATAACTGTACTAATATCTAAATTGTTTTTTTATTTCTTGAATTATAAATTAAATTGAATAATAAATCAAAATTTATGATGATGTGCAAGCTGAATGAACATAAGAATATGCGCAGCCTAAATACAAATTTAGAAGAAAGCATAAAAATAAATATATTGTACGAACCATCCATAGGCTTCTGCGTCAGTTGAGATTGAGAAATTGACAAAGGTTTCTCGTCCTTCTTTATGGGAATTTGGGAAATCTGCATCGGCATAGATACAATAGGAAGAGGATCAAATATCGATCCCATACTTCCCATATTCATTCCAATATTCAATCCCGGAATGTCGTTATTATTCAGCATACTAGGTGGCGAATTTCCGCGTTTTGTGTTTGGAAAGCCGTTGGAATGCTGCTGCGACATTGTAACGTTATGGGAATTTTGCATGTTAGTCAACGATGCAGTCGTATTAATCATGCTCTCCAATTGATTATGCATAGACATATGTGCCGCCAGTCCTTGCGGCAAATTCATATTCAAGTTTGCCATATTGATATTGCCCAAATTTAGATTAGAAGCCATACTCGACGGTATCATATTCACGGGTTTTACATCCGACAGTAAATTCAAATTTGTATTATTATTGGTATTATTGGTCGTGTGAGACGTTTGGATGAATGACGATTCCTTCTTGATCGCGAGCGTTTGTTCCAAGGAGGGTTGTTGCGTTTGAATAAAAGAAGGCTCTTTCTTGATCGCATGTGATTGATCCAAAGAAGGTTGTGTGGTGGGCACTGAAGCTATATGAAATACATATACAGACCGATTACTCATTATACTAAATAATATGTTTATATCTAATGAAAAAATTATTTTACACAAGATATTAGAAATAAGGATGTGATAATTAAACCGATATAGTACCTAGAGTATTATACGGTTGTAAAAGATCAGATTGTTGGTTTAAATTGGTTCCATCGGTGGGTACGGGTGTATTTGCATTTGGAAAGGAACTAATGGATGTTGGTGGTTGTTGAGATACAGCTGGCGAGACTGTCATAGAATTTGTATTCGTAGGAGTAACGCTGGGCGGTGGGGTTGGTACAGAGACCGATGGAGTCGGCGGATTAGATGTTGTTGGTGGTGGTGGTGTTGGCTTTTTTACAGGAGCAGCTGTAGCCATAGCTGTAGGTCGCGATGGTTGCGCTGGCATAGACGTATGTGTAGCAACAGGTATGCCTTGTCCAGCTGTGACGGCAGCCACCGCGACAGGTTGCTGATTATTATTGCCTCCTAAAAGATTTTTGCTGTCACGTTTCATAATCTGTGATATTGATCTTATATAATAATGTATCTTTTTTTTTACATTAATACGACGTGCCTTTATTTTTCATTACGTATACGTCGTTAAAATCTTTTAACAAAATAAGTATCTTGACTAAAAAAAAAAAACAAAAAACAACCAAAAAAACTTCTATTAGCAATTACATAATATATCATGTAAAAATTAATAGATCTATTTAAAAAAATAACAGATGCAATTTAAAGGACAGCAAAAAAACTTAGCCAGGAAATACTTGTGATGTATCAAGAGTAACAAATACACAGAAAAAAAGCTCCTGAAAACGACTTACCAAAATAATTTTCACATCATCTAATAAGTATAATTTACATAAAAATGATTAATCATTAGTTGTTTCGTATTATTAATTAGTAATTTACCTTGCTCTGAAGAAATATTGCTCGATTGAGTGACAGATGGCTTGGTTATTGGTCCCGCGGAATTTGCCGGTGGTTGATTGTTCATTAAAAGAGCCCCAGTATGATTTAATGTAGGTGCCTAGTCGTAGAAAGCATATTTTTCTTCATTTCAATACATTTAACATTTATCATAAACCTATTATTATAAACACAATATTGCGTTTCTTTGTAATATAATGTGCATTGCACTTTTAAATAAAAATACATTCAGATCAGTACTTATAAAAATACCAACAATGCACACAAAAAGTGCGCTTTATTCAAAAATAAAAAGACTTATAATTTATCTCGTGTGATTTATCACCATTATATTTTATGGTATAAAAGAGAAATATAGACGTTGAAATCTCCATTGATGGAACTTGTAATCAATTATCTTACCGATGTTACAGTAGTAGTCGTTGCAGAAGGACCTGTACTTGATGGATTCTTCTTTGCTTTCTTTCTATGTGGACGATTCGATGAGTTTCCTGAAATATAATGTGCATCTAACGGTGAATAACATGCAATCAATCATCATTCTTCCAATAGCAAGAATGGAGAACTAGCGAAACGCAGTGTATACGGAGGATACCAGCCATTGAGTGTTGCCAAGTAAAATGCCCAAGTAAATATCAGAAAAAAACTTCGAGCATATATTTTCTAATAGATTTTATTCATATGCTTATATTATAATTGTATCACTGTGTACAACAATGTTAATTTAAATATCTCAATTGTATGTTTTTTTTTTTTTGTGGACTTTCATCTTAATGATTTTTTTATATTAAAAAATTTTAATGCGCAGAACAATTTTTCTTTTTTATTCTACATAAAGTTAGTTGTATTCAATTCATTTATGAATATTTGCGTGTGCATATATATATATGATACACATCATAAATACATACATACCGCACGCGCGCCCACACATACATGCACACGTGTCGCAAAGTTTGTCACACATACATATATATATAATATCTACATATATGTATGCTAGAGCACGCGCCTACTCTCTCCGTTTAGTGCAGTGATAATCATGATTTATTACAATAATAATAATAA